TTCATTCTGGTTTCTGCCTCCACCCTTTCAATTTAAACCAAATGCATTCATCAAAAGGGTCATTACGTCTGATTAAATGTTGGGCCTGGAATGTTGGACAAACTACAATAATACAATAAAACATCTTTCAAAATGGAAAACAAATTGATGAACAAACAAATAAGACAGGGGGCAACAGTAGTCACTTTACTTTTAAAAAGGGACAGGAAAGATGCCAAAAGTGTAGTTTACTTTCTACGCTCAAATTAGTAACCATTTTCTCTTCTTTTCTTATAATGTATTTTTAAGTTCAGTCTCTACCTCATTCTTTCAAAACCGATTTTGTCTGTCAAACTAATTTGCATTGATGCACGACGTTCCTGACTTCCTTCCCATCTTGCATCAGCCCATACCATCAACACTTCTTCCTCTCTCCAACTCCAACGTCACCTCCACACTCATTTTTCTCCTTGTGCCGCCGCCGTCTCTACGAATGGATCCGCCTTCCCATCTTGGGCCGCAGGTCTGAGACCGCGGATAGAGATATCGTAGACCACCTCCTCTATCTTCTTGATGTCGTACTTGAGTCCGTCGAATCGCTTGCGAAGCGAGTCGTTCTTTAGATTCAGTAGCCTGAAACCAGAATTCAACTCTCCCATGAAGGCCGAGATGCGAATGGGTCTGCTGTAATCGCCTGATGTAACGCTATTGACTGCCAGTCTTGACTGCAATATGAATACAGTCAAAGAAATATAAAAAATACTTTGTCAGATAATTGCAGAAAATAGATCCATGTGTATCATGCAAGCAGAGGAATAGAACACAATATCATAGCATTTATATACATGACAATATCTAACATTTTAGTATAACTTCATACAAATAGACAGTCCATGTATACCACATCAGTAGCAGATCTAGGGGGGGGGGGGGGCCTAGGCCCCCTTCTCTGGCCCCCAAAACAGGTAAATTTAACCTTTTTGAAAATAAAAAAGAATACGGGCCCCCTCCCCCTGGCGCAAGGGGTGGGGGGGGGGGGGGGAGGGTGCTGATTTGGCGCTCAACATTTTCTCAAGAAATAGGCCCCCTATTTGGCCCCCTCCCTTGCCGCCGGCTGGATCTGCCCCTGTATCACATAGGGAATGGTTGCAGAGATGAAATTTCAATCATTTTTTTAAAACTCTAACTTAAAACTCATTTTCGAAATAAGTACTGTAATTTACATGTCTTCATGCTTCTCTACCTTTGGAAATGAGTAAGGAATAAGTAACTAGTACAAATACATGTACCATACATAAATCATTTTTTGTTGTCTTTGGTTCATCACTTACCAATTCATTTCCTAATGATAACACGCCATGAAGGAAATCCTCTAAGTCGATGTGGAATCCATCAGATTTCTTCACAGTAACTGTGAAAGATGAGGATAATCAAGAATATATTACATGAGTGAGGGATATAAACTTGTGTACTGGTACCTTGACACCTACTTTAACAGGGGAAAATAGAAATCTGAGAGGTATGTCTGAGAGGTATGAGAGGTGTGGGAGGGGTAACAAGAAAAGGGGGAGGCAAAATGATGAGGTACGAAAGGAAGTAAAAGAGACAGGGATAAGGGAGAAGATTAGAGAGAGAGAGCAGACTGAGATGGTATGGACAAGTGAGGAGGAAAGATGAACATGATCTGACTAGATGAGAAGGGAAGTTAAAAGAAAGAAAGACCCGGGTAGAGGTGAATAGATTGTATTAAGGAAGACGAAGAGAAATAGACTTTGAAATGGCTACAGACAGGATGAGATGAAAAGCGGTAACAAGGAGACCCGACCCCACATATGGGGGACCCACAGTTTGATGATGGTGGTGGTGGTGGTGGTGGTGGTGGTGGTGGTGGTGGTGGTGGTGGTGGTGGTGATGGTGATGGTGATGGTGATGGTGATGGTGATGGTGATGGTGATGGTGATGGTGATGGTGATGGTGATGGTGATAGTGATGATGATGATGATGATGATGGTAAAGATGATGATGGTGATGGTGATGATGATGATGATGGTGGTGATGATGATGATTGACCAATGAGCAATCATTGCCACTTTTGCCAGAACACATGCCTGAAAACACCTACTTACCTCCCAACAATTCTGCTACCTCCTCTCTCGTTGCTAATCTTTCATGTTCAAGGAAGATGATAAGGGAAGCTGAGAAGGCAAGTCTTTGAATACCATACTTCCAGTGATCATGGAACCTAAACAACATAATGAGAGAGAATTAGATTAAAGATTATCTTTAGCTCTGGTATGGGAATCGCATTTGAGAAATCATGGCTATAATTCATTCTGGATTATTTATCCTGCATTAGATTGGTTGTTTGAACTCGTAAAATAGACAGAAACTCAAAAAAACTTGCTGGATATCATCTTCAATAAAAACCACAACTCTTATTTGGACATACATGTAGTGAAGCACATGGGGTCAGGCCTACTTACCTGGGCTTAAGTTACTGATGTTTCTATGATTGTTACTCAGCCCCTACACATTTTCTACCCAAATCGTTGGGCATACGGTACATCATTTATTTGTAATCTTGAACATTCAGCCATAATTTCTTCTTCTTCTTCTGATTAAGTTTGCCTCCTTCAATTGACTGAAGATCCTCACAAACTATGTGTGTGTGTGTGTGTGTATTTACCGCAATTTACATCCATTTAAGTGCTATTTCCACTATAATACAGTTTATTTACAAATATTTACAAGCTCATGTATAGGATGGAGGAAGACTAGCCACTGTCACCAGTGAGAATTGGTTTTTGTATCACTACCAGAAATCAAGCTTATCTTTAACAAAGATCAATTCCAAGAAGTTTAAAATGCAAATCTCATGCTGTGGTAGTGTTTGATCATCGTTTTTTTTTTCTTCCCCTTTACAATATTCAACATACTTACAGCTCAAATCAATAATATTATATTATACATTTTCTGGATGGAAATCACATGTATAAATAAACACATACCTGTAATATTCATCTACAGGAAAGGCAGCAGCAAGGAGAGCTATTTTTGATCTGACTGTCTGAAACAACTCTCTACTTCTCTTGCAAATCTGAGGAACTAAAATTAAAAAGACTTTTTAATTTTTTTAATATACATAAGTCAATTTACTGTCGAGTCTTCATAATATAAGGGCATCACTCCATGAATCCATACCAGTAATTTAAAAGCAAAGTTTGGTCACAAGTTCTGCCTTTTTAAATAATTAAATACCAAGCCCAAGAAAACTTTGACAAAATGTGTGTTAATTTGCTAAGATGAAATTGTATAAAATGAGTTAATAATTGTGTGGTTGTTGTTGTCGGTGGTAGAGGGTGGTCAGGCACACATCCTGAAATCCATTTTATGGCAACTTTCTTTCCGTAAATGCACAGATTATTAGTACATCTTAAATTTATGATAAAAAATCTCCGTCTTTCGACCGTTAAGGTCTGGACTCTCCCTTTAAAAAAACAAAGAAACTGATGTGATTTCCATGACTACATATAATAGTTATACTTTTTAAACACGAAAACAAACTACTTTGATAGAGCAATTTTGTATTTTAATCATAAATTAGACGGATCTGGAATATATCTGTAACAATTTGATTTCAAACTAAAAACAAATTAATTATATATTAAAATAGTTTAATACACAAAGTAACGAAGAGCATTCAAATTAGAAACAAGGGTCTATGTTAAATCATCTCATCTCCTTCAATAAAAAGATCATACAGTTCGAACAAACCTTCTTTAATTCCACTGCCCTGATGAATGGCATTCAGTACAGTCATAATCTCTCTTCCGGTTTGCTCCAATTCACGAACAATGGTACGAATCTCCTGCAATGCAAAATTTAAGGGAAAGAGGCATTAAACTATGAAAAGTCAAAGCCAAGGTATAAAAATGAGGACTATCAGGAATGGGTGAAGAATATAAATAAAAATGTACTACATGTCTGTAACTAAAAGTACATGGTCTACCAAGTACAGTTCTTCTTTCTTTCTTCGGCTTCCCTTCCTTATTTCTTCTTCTCAGCTCTGAGCTCTTCTTTATCAGTAGGGGCACTCGTATATCCTCGTATACGCAGACAAAGTGCATCCTAAAAAAAAAGGATCGTCCGCATTTTCAAGGATGTTTTTTTCCTTTGGAGCTCTGCGGGTTTTGGGTTCCCGATCCGCACGCTGGCTATGTAAAAAATAAATTCTGCATAATCATCAAGAGAAACGGATTCCGCGTAATCATCAAGAAAATCATCACAGATATTTATATTAACCATTTTTTGCATCGCCAACACGCAGATCGGAAATCAGAATTGACAGAAAAAATGAGGACGATCCTTATTCTCAGACCCCCCCCCCTCTCTCCTCCTCCTCCTCCTCCTCCTCCTCCTCCTCCTCCTCCTCCTCCTCCTCCTCCTCCTCCTCCTCTCCTCCTCCTCCTCCTCCTCCTCCTCCTCCTCTCCTCCTCCTCCTCCTCCTCCTCCTCCTCCTCCTCCTCCTCCTCCTCCTCCTCCTCCTCCTCCTCTCCTCCTCCTCCTCCTCCTCCTCCTCCTCCTCCTCCTCCTCCTCCACATCAACACATCAAGCAATGTGCATACTTCAAGTTCAACTTGTATTGTATTGACTATTGTTTTTAATATTTTATTTCAAAAATAGCCTCGGTCTTACCTCTCTTTTATCTTGCTCCTTTGACAAATGTTCATTGAATGCTTCGAAGTTTGTGCTGATTTCCTCAGCCATGATTAGAGTCTACCTAATAGCCTAGGCTCAGTAAGAGACTTTAAAAAGAGTAAGAAAATACTATCCAAGTCAACTCAACTATAAACTCAGCTCAACTGCAGCTGCAGATAAGTTCAACGCGTGCGCTACCCGCACGTACCGGGGAAATCCCTATGCACGTGCTAGTATACCGGTAGTGCTTGCTCGCGCTCAACTATAAACAAGCAGAAATGTTAATACCATTTTCCATTTGCTTTTCAAAGATACAGTATCTTCAGAAAATTAGAAAATATTTTGGAGCGTCGCTGCACCAGGGTAACTGCTCTGCTTCTTGAAAGAGAATTTGCAGTATTAAGCTTGATTTGGGAATGAATTGTAAGCAATGAATAGATTACCTATATATTGACATTTGATAATTCGTCTTAGCTGCTTGTCCGGGTGTTATGTAAGAGAAATATTATCGTGTGTTGGTTGGTTAGAGTTTTGTCTTTTGAGAGTCTGCCGTCGACGGCTAGCGCTGTGCAACAGTGCAAGTGTGATCTCTGTGGAGGCTTTTTTGCGATGTTTCTGGTTAACTCACTGATCAATCTGGTTAACCTTCTTCTTCTTAGTTGATCCCTCCACTGTTTTGGAGATTCCTGGAGTCCAAATAAAATAAATGTGTATAATCCGACCGGTTAGGAGCTTTGGAGAGTCTTAGAACGAGAAGCATCAATTTTGTGTAGGAAAAAGAGCGATAGTAGAAGTAGGTTATTATGAATTTCGGAAGGCAAGCATGGATGCAGGGGTAACAGAGTAGCAGGAGTAAATTGCTGTGGGTCATCAACAACATATAGGTTAAGACAGATGGGATAATCCACGAGGCATTCCTTGACTTTGCTGATGAAATCCAGACGGAGATGAGCCAGGTATGAGCAGACTCCAACAAAGTGCTCCACTGTCTCATCGTTGGTTTTACAAAGGGGGCATGTAGAGATAGGCGATTTCTTAAGCGTGAAAAGACGGCATTGTATCAAGTAAGTACATGTGAGTAATTGGGCTCTCACTATAAGAGCTCTTCGGATGGGAGGAGATGATGCATTCTTTGGATATAGGAGATTTGCAGAGGGTAGAGTGATATTTATCCAGAACTTGAGAGAGGACTTAAAGCGGATTCCTTGTAGAGTATTGTGTTTTACCACCAGGATGACTTTGTAGTTGATCATCCTTTTCCATGTTGAGTAGAGGGGTGGGTTCGAGACGAGGCTTTGGAGGTCTGGAAGATCATACTTCCTCAATGCCTCTTGAAGGACCAGTATTGAGGGTGTATGCGTTTTGAGGGCATCTAGGAATGTTCTGAATTCAAAACGGCTGTGATCAAGCTTGATGAGTTGACCTAAAAGCAAGAGCTTACCAAGATCAATTTGCACTGAGACTGGCAGGAGGTTGGTGAGCAAGTAGACAATCTCATCAGCAGCAGACTTCGGCACCCCTAATATCTGTTTGAAGAGATGTGATTGGGCCCTGTCAAGTTTCAGCAGCATTGATTTTGTGAACTTGGTTGTGGACGAGCCATGTAGCATTCTCGGAATGCAGAAGGTTTTCCACAGATGGGAAACAAGTGTAGGGATGAGGCCACCAGTATAAGCACCAGTACCAGAGAGGGCATAGAAAGTTCGGAGACCCGTTCCGATGATATTGTCTGTGGGGTCATAACCAGAAACATCGCAAAAAGGCCTCCAGTTCAATTTTGTGTTTCTTCCTTCTCGTGAGTCTTACTCGTAGATCTACCGTCATAGATTTTTTCAGGGTTGCGAATCGAAAGCAAAAGATTTTTTTTTTATTTATCATTCATGAGTCATGTTTTTGTGTTGATGAATTGCATTAATAGCATGATTGAACATGAAAAAGAAATCTCCACTAGAGACTCTTAATAAAGGCTTATTTTGTCAAAATTTGAGCAAGAACAACAATGTTATTTCCACAAGAAAATGCAGCGATGTCCTCCTGACATGGCAAAAACTAAGGTTCCCATGTCTATGCGATTGTGCGCACTCATTTCACTTAACATGTTTGCGACTTTTGACATGAATGGTAAGCATTTCATGGCTTCGGAATGAAAAGTATACCTAGGCCTCTAGTTACTTTTTTCGGAAGGAATACGGATCGCTATAATAAAGATGGATATTTAGTGTTGGCTGCATGTTTTGTTTTATCAGAATGACACATTTACACATTATGAGCAGAGAAGGGCGCTACACAAAGATGGGCACTCTCTAGCCATACCCAAACTTCTAAATAATCGCATAGTTTCTTTGGCATTATTATAACCTTGATCCAAAAAATGTAGGCTATTTTCTTTGTAATGTCTGATCCTCATTTTTTGTTTTTCTAAAGAAACAAGATCAACAGCCAGTGAGATGGAGAATTTCGTCCTTTACGATGAGATTAGACAGACTGAAACCTCAACGATGTACAAGGGGAGGAGGAAAGGGTCAGTGAACTTTGTGGCCATCCACTGTGTTGATAAAGCAAGGAGGTCAGAGGTTACAAACCGGGTCAGGTTGACCCATGAACTAAGCCATTCCAATATAGTGGAGTTCTATGAATGGTATGAAACAACCAACCACCTGTGGCTCATAGTGGAGCTCTGTACAGGTAATTGTTTTGCTTGTGTTTTTGCTTGTGTTGTTTTGATTTTGTTTAATTATTATTATTTCAAGTCAAATTGTAGCAACGTTAAACATATGATAACCAATGTCACAACATCCACTTATTTAAATGATAACATTTCTTTGTGACTGGGAATCTGGGATGGTAATCTGTTCCTCATCAACCCCCTTTCACCAACCTTTTGTTTTTCTATGCTGCTGCTGATAACCAAAATGGCATATTTGCTGAGAACTTAACTTAATGTCGATCAATTTGCAGAAGATTGATAATCTTAACTATTTCTGACTTAATATATCAAGATAAAGAGTTAAAGACGTACATATATAGTTAGCTCCTGCAAAGTTCAATCTGCATGATTAAAATCTCTCTCTCTCTCTCTCTCTCTTCACTTGAATATCCTTCATGTATTAGTTCTTATACCTGGCACATATAACTCTTAGCTTTGCTTCTTTCTTACAGGTGGCAGCCTTGAACTTATTTTATCACAAGATGGCCACTTTCCAGAAACAGCAGTTCGTGGGTTCGGACTGGACTTGGTGAGAGGGCTGCATCACATACATTCTGTTGGAATGCTCTTCTCAGATTTCAAACCAAGCAAGGTAATATGAACAAAATTCTTCTACAATTTATTGAACCCTCATTACAAATATCTTTCATTACGAAACGAACCGATTGCTTTGTTTTTGTTTCTGTAAGGGGAATACTATCAAAGTAATCAAACCTTGGTGGAAGTCTCTCTATAAAGGCCACTCGTGTACACTGGCCATGTCTTTTGTCTCCTTCAAGAAAGAAATACGTGTTGTAGAACTTGTTGAGAATGGCAACTTACCATAGCAACAATTTTTTTTCCTTGGGCGACCTCAATAGACAGGTTTTACTGTATATTAAATCATATTACATTTGAGCTTTGATATTCTACAGGAATTAAAAAAGAAAGGAAAAAAAGTATTATGATTGCCTGTCACAATTCACCTAAAAACAGATCGTACAATTTTCTTTATTTTTTCATGAGCCAGAGGAGGTACTATAATTTGAATGTTGTTTACTTTGGGATTGCAGATATTAGTGGATAGTTCTGGATCATTGAAGTATGATGACTTCAGCCTGGCTCGCCTGGAAGAGGAGAACCTGGATGACATATTTGATATGACATCAGCAGAGGGCACCTCTCATCAAACTAAGCAGGGTGATGAAGGAACAGCTACAAGTACTTTAGGTAAGATGTCCATTACTCCAATTTCAAATAGTGTTGGATGATTTGTCATAAATTTGCTTCTTATTCAATTAAATTGATTTTTTTCCCCAAAATTGTTAACGTAGTCACCTGAAGAAAATTCATGACAACTGATAATTATGGACAAATTATATACGGTTGGAAAGATTTTCTCTTGAAAAACATGAATAATTTGCTAAAAAATTATATAGATATCATGGAAAGGTGTCAAATGCAATTTTGTGGCTAGCTCTGTCTCGCATGTGACGTTACAAATCTTGACGCTCTTTGGAGGACTGCTGAAGGCAGAAAATCTGGATCTCAAAATTAACATTTTTGAGAGATGCTTACTGCTGGCCCCAAACATATTTTGATGAGGGAAGGTGTTATATTTGATCACTTAGGGTTCCCCTTCGCAATGATAAGAATTTTGCATAAATTCAAAACACTTTTTAATCTTTGGGTGACTATACTTTAAAGATGTATTTAAATTCATGCATACTACCTCCTCGATCTATTTGATCTATAAAGTGATAATAGATTCTTATGAATTGTTGCTATGTCAGTCATGAATAGAGCAAGCTTTTTGTTCATTAATAGCGACTTGTTTGAACAGTATACAATAGTTGTGCAATATCATGTAGTGCACAGGTCTAATTATGACTGAATCATTGTCAAAAAGAAAACAAGCTGTCAAAATCCAAGACAATATTTTAGTTTAAAATTGCTAATATTCTATGTCTATGAAGTGAAGATTAGTTTATTCAATGGCGAACTTTGTGTATTTTAGTGATTTCTTTTTGGCGACATAGTTCTCTAAGAAGTTTTGTAGCAGTTGTAGTTCTAAACTGTTTTCATATTGAAACTTAAAATTGATGAGTTTGTGTTTTTATTATGTACACTCATATACCAATATAATTGCTTATTTTTATCTTAAGTGTTTGGAGCCCCAAATTTGTCAAAAATTTGATGGCCAGATTTCACTTAAATTGTATCAAAGATTTCCCTCACAAAATGTGTTTGAATACATATATTGATGAAAGTATACATAATTTGGGTTTTCTGTTGTACGCAAAAAAACAATTTTTGCATTCTGTCATCAATCTTCGACCTCAGATTTGTTTTGAAAATCCTTGCAGAAATGTGTCTCTAATGACATCCTCTTTCACATTATGATAAAATTTAAGTGACATTTTGCCATCAAATTTTTGGGGCTCCCAACAATTGTACGGGTCATGGAAAACCTGGAAAGTCATGGAATTTTACTTTATTGCTTTTAAGGCCTTGAAAGTCATGGAAAATTATTTTTTCCATTGGAAAGTCATGGAAAGTCATGGAATATCAAAATTATGGACAACTATAGTATTTTCTCACTATACAAGTGAATAAATGGAGATATTTCAACCATTTTCTTCTCGTATTTTCTTTCATTCGTAACATACCGACTGATTGTACTTGTGAATGTGTTCACTATGATCGATGGATAAGCGCTGTGTACGTGGGTGTGTACGTGTACGATACGAACTACGTGTGTATGGTCAGTGTATGGCGGTACGGTCCACATCGTGCGCACATGGCTAGCTTGCGAGCGAGCTCGCTAGCGCTAGCTCAGTTCAGCAAGCTAGCGCACGTGTACGTGTGCAGTGTGTGTGTGCATATGATGATGGTGCCAACGCGACATGTGACACTCCAAGAACGAATGTAATGCCTCGATTGCACTTTGGCTTTGCATTAAATTGCGACCACTTAGACTACTACAATTTTTACACTTCTCCAATAAATGAGGAAAAAGTAAATTAGTAATATTTGTTTTTTAATTTTCATTATTTAAATAAAAAAGGAACAATACTGACGTGTCAACAAGGCAAATTGGCAGCGCTAGCTCGTTGACGATCTATATATCGACGCGACGGCATGTGTTTTGAAGAATCCGGGCTAACTCGCCCCACGGGACATCTCGCCCCGGCCTCAAAGACTGGGGCGAGATGTCCCGACAAATTTAATCGATCGAGAGATACCAATGTGTATATGTTTGTGCTCATTGTGACTTAATAATGCCATTTCCAACCACAATCTGTAATGTAATTGTGTTAAATGATACTATTGAAGACAATCTATAACTTCTCTTTAGGTAAAATGACCAAAAAATGGCATTTCGGACAATTTACTCACAGCTCGCAAATCGCATTGCCGCACGTACATTAAATGTGCGTTGTATCGACTCGGACCACTGAAATTCGAGCAGTGTTTTTGTCGGTAAATCACTGCAAAAATATCATTTTTATCTCGTATGAAGGTCTATTTTTATTCCTGACACAGATTTCATTATTGAGAAGTCGAATATAGTACATTTTAGACGAGATGGTTGATGTTTGTTCACATTCTTTCGTCCTGGCCGTAAATTAGCAGACTACTGCCTATTGGGCAGTGCAGTGCAGCGGGTACGGATGCCGAGTCAGTGAATTCCCCCGCCGACCCGCCTGGCGGCGGCGCTGTACTGCTAGCTTGACACTGAGCTGAGCGATGAGCTGCTGCGCGGTGCACAACAGTAGTCTGCTAATTTACGGCCAGGACGAAAGAATGTGAACAAACTTCAGCCATCTCGTCTAAAATGTAGTACATTCGACTTCTCAATAACGAAATGTATACCAGGAATCAAAAATAGACCTTCATGCATTATGAAAATGATATTTTTGCAGTGATTTACTGACAAACACACTGCTCGAATTTCAGTGGTCCGAGTCGATACAACGCACATTTAATGTACGTGCGGCAATGCGATTTGCGAGCTGTGAGTAAATGGTCCGAAATGCCGTTTTTTTGTCATTTTACCTTAAGAGAAGTTATATATTGTCTTTAATAGTATCATATAACACAATTCCATTGCAGATTGTGGTTGGAAATTGCATTATTAAGTCACAATGAGCACAAACATATACACATTGGTATCTCTCGATCGATTAATCATGTCGGGACATCTCGCCCCAGCTTAAAAGGCTGGGGCGAGATGTCCCGTGGGGCGAGTTAGCCCGACCCCGTTTTGAAACTTTTGTGCATGTGTTGATTCTTCATGAAACGGAGTTGTTTATTTTCACAGACCTTGGAACTCGTCACGTGGATATTTTCACCATTACAAATTTTGTGGAAGTGATATTCAAAATGCCTGGAAATTGTCATTTTAAGGATGCTTGGTTAGAACACCCGGATTACCGTGGCTGGATTTTGAAAGAAAGTTCCGATCTGGGGACTGCTAGATGTGCTGTTTGTATGTGTAAATTCAGTGTCCGTAATATGGGCGAAGCAGCCGTCAAGAGCCACAAGAAGAGTGAAAAACACACAGCAAACCTCCAACAGCAACAACGTCGTAAGTGAGCATTTTTAATGTGAATTTTACCGATCCTTTATTGAGCATGAATCCAAATAATGACTGATAATAATTATATAAAAATGAAAGATTTGAGATTATTTAGCGATGCGATGTCACCTCGCAGGCATTGGTTACTGCTTACTGCGACCAGCCCGTTCGGGAGCGTCCCCGGCCCCGGGCCGGGCCGGCTAGGTTACTGCATGCAACAGCCCGAACGCTAACCCAGGGGGCTCCGCACTCACACGCCAGTGTTGTACCGGGCACTGTATGTGGACTGCAGAAAAAAAAAATAATAATAATTTACCTTAAAATTGACCCCAAAAATCATAAAACTAAATTTTGTACTTACAATTGGGTCCAACAGTTTGCTTGCCTTGAGAAGTATTTCCTCCTTTCTATTTCTTTAAAATATGTTTTTAAGGAATGAGTCAAAAATTAGTCCACTTGTCTTAGTGACTTACATCAATTGGCCAAAAGTTGCCGTGAATTTTTTTTTTTTTTCCTTCCCCATACTGTCAAACGGTTGTCAAAATAGGAAAACGTTTATGCTTTTAATGGTCGTTTGAACGGCAGTTAAACGTTTTGACTCGGCCCTAAATCTTACCAAATGATGATATTTATATTTTATTTATTTTAATAGACATTTTTTTCTTTTCTCCTAGATTCTACTCTCTCACTCAAGAGCTTCTTCAAGGCAAAAGGTGCAGAAAGTTCATCAGTATCTATCACGTCTACAGATGCAACAACCAGTACTTGTGCGCCATCAACCTCTAAAGTGACAACTCCCATTCCTGTTGCTGCAAGAGAGGAAACTTTAAAAGCTGAAATACTCTGGTGTCTGAAAGTGGTGGAGGATCATTTATCATTTCATTCTTGCCAGCACAACAGTGAGCTCTTTCAAAGAATGTTTCCGGACTCAGCTATTGCTAAGGGTTTCACGTTGTCAGAAACAAAATGTCGGTATATGACGGTGTTTGGTTTGGGCCCATATGTGCAAGACCTCCTTTATGACAACATAAAACAATCAAACCACTATGTGATACTGTTTGATGAAAGCCTCAACAAGAAGCTCCAGAAAAAGCAGATGGACTTCCTCATAAGAACATGGCAACACAATGAAGTTTGCACTCGCTACTTGACGTCTGTGTTCATCGGACATGGTTCAGCTGTTCACCTCAAGGAAGAACTGAATAAAGTTCTGCACACAGTTGGCTTGGAAAAATTACTGCAAATATCAATGGATGGTCCCAACGTTAATTGGAAGATGTATGATGACTTTACGCGAGAGTACACTGCTGACCTGACCAAATCCATACTGAATATAGGCTCATGCGGGCTCCATATAGTTAATGGTGCTTTTCTGACAGGTGCCAAGGCTGCTGACTGGGAGGTGGAAAGCTTTCTATCATCCTTGTATTACCTGTTTTCTGATTCCCCTGCCAGAAGAGAGGATTATCAGAAGATAACTGGAGATCATACCATGCCACTTAAGTTTTGCAAGACCCGATGGCTGGAAAACCTTCCTGTTGCAGAGAGAGCAATCAGCATCTGGGAGAGTGTATGTGCGTATGTTAAAGCAGTAGAAGAGAAGAAAATCCCTCACCCAAAGAACAAGTCCTTTGAAACTGTTTCAAAATGTACTCATATAACTGATTTCTTAGCAAGACTGTACTTCTTCATATCTGTTGCAAAGCTGGTCAATCCTTTCCTAACAGACTATCAGACTGATGCACCAATGCTGCCCTTTTTAGCTGAAGACCTTACTAGAATGCTTGCATCCCTTATGCAGCGATTTTTAAAGCTGGACAGGAGTACCATTACTTCTCCTTACAAGATAATGCAGGTAGATGTTAGCAGTGAGGCCATTCAGCTGCCCTTGGCCAAGTTGGACATTGGATTCTACACTGAGAAGAAGCTGAAAGATCTGAAGGCGAAAAATATCATCAGTGAGCTGAAAGTTCTGGAATTTCGCACTCAAGCAAAGAAGTTTCTTGCTGCAATGACCCGGAAGCTCATTGAGCGATGTCCGCTTAAGTATGCACTTGTGAGAAATATAGGATGCTTGAGTCCAAAGAACATGGCAAAAGACAAAGAAAACTCCACTGCAAAGCTGAAGAGGGTGCTTAACACCCTTAGTGATGCCCACAGACTTAAGGATTCATGTGACGATATCCTAAGAGAATACTCAGAAGCATGTGATGAGGCATCAAGAAGTGCAGAGATGAGAGACTTTGATCCAAAGAAAGAGAGATTGGACTCTGTAATGTGCAAATTTCTGTCCGAGTCTCGCTATTCGACCCTCTTAAAGTTGGTCCGCATGTTGCTTGTCTTGTCCCATGGACAAGCCTCCATTGAGAGAGGTTTCTCAATCAACAACGAAGTTGAAGAGGACAATCTCCTGGGACACTCACTGATATCATTGAGGGCCATTTATGACCATATCAAGTATGTTGGAGGAATCAAGAATGTGACTATTGACAAATCAATCATGTTGGCTGCGTCTGCAGGCAGGCAGAAATACCACATCTATCTCGATGAACAGAGGCGTAAAAAGGAAAAGGAAAAGAAAGAAGGAAAGAGAAAAGGACTGATGGATGGTTTGGAAGAACTAAAGGCCAAACAAATGAGACTGCAAGCAGATGTGAAAAGTCTTCACACCTCAGCAGACAAGTATGCTGAGGAAGCAGAGTCACAAGGAAGATTGACTTGTATTTCCAAATCAAACAGCCTCCGACGTACAGCAAAGGAGAAGGCATCCCAGTTACAAGTAATTCAGAAACAGATTGATGAACAGCTGAATGCCATTAAGAATTATTAAAGAACTTGGACAGTTTGTTACCAATGCCACCAAATATTCAGACAGGTGCAATGTGTAGAGGGATTTCTTTCAAACAGCTACATGAAGATGTCTCAAGAAAAAACTCATTCAGAAATTATTGACCAGCTTAATGCTAGCGAAACAAGAATTCATCAGCTGATGTGAGTAGGCCTACTGTGTTTTGTTGGTGAAATCAAAATTGGTGATGGTATGTGTGTGAGTTTGTGTGTTGGTGTTGTTTTGTTTTCTTTTTTTTTTGGGGGGGGGGGTAGTTACCTTGTACATGCAAAGGAGAGCTATTGAAGGAATCATGGTGGTCCATGAAACCAGGAACAGGCAATTTGTATTCTTTAGAAGTGAAAATTGCCATTAAAAAATGGACAATTGTTGATATGAATACATGTATGTGTAATTGTAAGAATATTATATAGCAGTGCATATCGAATATGATGAAAAAATAACATGTAATTGTAACAGATGAAATAACTAGATAACAAAAGCTGCCTTTCTATTAGTAGACTTGAAACATGCACTTTGCTTCGCTTTGATTTGAGATCAAATTTTCAGTCTACCGTGTAAAAAAAATGTGTAAAAGTCATGGAAAGGTCATGGAATTCTGGCTAGAAAAGTCATGGAAAGTCATGGAATTAAATTTATGAGAAAGAGTATGAACCCTGTAGAGGGGCTTTAAGAATATGTCAATGTCAATGTCAAAGCCATTTTTAGAGGTATTACAAGTGATAATACTATATCTTCTTATTGTAGGTTGCCCAAATTATCTTGCCCCTGAGGTTTTACAAGGACAGCCTCATAGCATTGCAACCGATCTGTGGTCATTAGGCTGTCTCCTATATGAGATGTACACAGGTTAGTATTATTTTTTTTATATTCTGTTCATAAACCTGTATACAGCTGTTACATGCATAATATACTTTTCACATTGCAAGGTGAATGTTTTAAAATGCAAGCTGTTAAAGGGATTGGTAAATTTGTCTCAGATTCTCAAACAAAATCTGGGATTTAGCTCATGCTGCAATGATAATTATAAACCTTGAGGTCAATCAGGAACCCAATGGCCCGAATTCACAAAGCAAGGTTTGAGCTCAGACCAAGGTTTGAGCTCAAACCTCCTTTTGTTTCGCCAAACCTCCTTTTGTTCTTTACAAACCAGGTTTGTGAAAAACGCTTAAAACGCGTCGTATGACGTACGAAAACCAAGGTTTGTCGACAAACCTCCTTTGTGAATTCGGGCCATTGACTTTGAGAAGCCGATCGTCTGTCTTATTTTCAAGATATTTATGATTGGAAATCAAAATTTGAAAATCTGTTTTTCTAACAGTTTTCATAACACTGCAGTCTATTGGGGAAATGAGTATGGTAAAACGGGTCACTCAAAGATTTTAACTCTTTTGAGGCACTTCGTGATAATTTTAAGCGAAATGTTTTAGGGCTTCAACATAATACCATATCACAGACACTGATAACACGTAGGGCCATAAAACTCAAATTTAACATTTAACATGATGCCTTTACGAGTAATGAATATAATTCATTGAACGTGTGGTTTTCTAGAAAGAAAGTTGGATATTGTGTGATTTAGATGGAGCAAGAGTATCCCCGACCTTGTAGTCAGTGTTATTCACTTTCTTATTCATTATGTTTATTTCTCCAGGCAACCCTCCTTTCCAGGCAGATGAGTTTCCCAAACTAGTGGAACAGATTCTCACCAAAGATTATCCTACACCCAAAGTTAAAGGTAAGTTTCCTACTGCTTCATAAACAATACACAACTAACAACAATAATAAACTATAATATAAACTCAGGTATGGCATGGTAACAGGAGCTTACACAAATTCTGTGCTTTTTAGAGCAGTCGTATTAACATATATTTCATATATATAATAGAGACAAAAATTTCCCTATTGTCATAAATAGTAGCTTTTAAAAGGTGATTGTTAATACAGCACAACTTGACTTTATTTATGTACTCCTCCCAATAATATCATGGACGTAATTTTCTCTCCCTCTCCGTTCCTCTCTGTCCCTGCTTCTCCTACCGGGATGCCCTTTCAAAAAAAATCTTTCTTCCTTCCTCTCCTAATATATTTGCATCCTTTTTATATTTTTATATTATATGTATTCTTATTTTCATTTTCTAGAGGGCATCACTTCAAGCTTATTTTTAAGACAACCCCTTTTCTGTAAATACCATATCATTAGCATACATCTTAAGTTATAAATAAATAAATGAATAAACATAAAATATATGCACTTTCCCCTCATTCATTTGTCGTTTAGGACCAAGACTGGCAACTAAACCAACTCCGGATTTCTGCAGTCTTATTAAGGTGCTGTTGACAAAAGACCCTGCCAGAAGGTGAGTTTATATTAGTCAAGAAATGAGAAAGATATAATGTCTTTCTTTTCCTTTTTTTTTCTTCCCTTTGTTTCACTTGCCTATTTTATATCATATCAAGCAGTATTGATGATTAAAATTAATTGATGTTTGAAGATTAGTTCAAAGATACTGGATGTGGTTATGGCTGGATAGCTAAAGAAGATTGTAGTACTTCAATTGAATAGGTTGTACAGAACAAGTTATTGTCACTTTTGAAAAACATAATGAAAAGAAAAGGAAATAGAATTTGATTTTGATTGAAGTTTACTTTATTGTTTTAAAGTCCTTAAGATGTATATAACTGCTAACGAGTAAGAATATAAACTTCTTTACTAAATATGAATGCAACATTTATTTTTTCTCACCAAAGTGAAATTTTGATGAGTGTAAATCTGTTTGTATGAAAGTATTATTTTCAAAGCAGGTTTTTTTACATAGTGGGCAGGTCACTATTAACCTGATCCAGAAAAAGCATCATTATGCATGAAATTTTTGTGAGTTATTTTTTGTTTGCAACTTTTTTCAGGGCAACATGGCATGAATTAGTCGTCCATCCATTCTGGCAGGGTCAGCTACAAGTTGATGATGGCACCAAGAAATCTCTGGGGACTACAGCTGATGATATGGACAAGAGTCGTACTAGCTTCAATGCCCGTACCCCTCATGAAATGAAGGTAGGATTTTAAAATACCAGTTTTATCAATGTAACATTTGATTCTACAGAAAGTGTTTCACAGCTATGCAATCTAAAGCCCCACTGTACAACTTGTAGCTACTTGCTCCCTCTATATAGAAAACAATGCCTAATCGGTGACCATTGGTCTCCCATGATCCTCTTTTTCTTATGTTAATTGAGAGCTGAGTTGATGAGATAGCCACCTGTCAGAGACCACCCTGGGTGGTCCAATCCCTCCTAGCCAAACTAGTATAGACGGCCTTTAAAAGAAACTCTTTCCATATGTAATGTCTCAAAAAGATCATCTGTCATCCATATGATTGTTATTGTAAGATTTGATTTCATGCTTCGTAAGGAAGATATCTAGTGTGAAATAGATTCGATTAGGACTCGATCATCCATTTTCAATAGCTCCCATGATGTGAATATTTTCTTTATTATTCATGACTTCTTCTGACTGTTTACAGAATGTAACACTTGTGACGCTATCGACAGAGGGCAGACCGGTTTCATCGTTGAAGATTCCAGACAACTTGATGAAAGCTTCACTCCATTCCAATAGACCAGAGTCTAGACCTCAGAGCTCCCCAGACACAGCCAAGAAGGACCCACACTTCCTATTAAGGTATGTGATGTTGTTTTGAGAAATCAATGGTATATTTATGAAATATACTTTGCACCCAGGGGCTTTGGTTGAAATTTCGGATGCTCTGAGTCTGAGGTGAGGGGCACAACCCCCCCCCCCCCCCCCCCAAAAAAAAAAAAAAAAAAAAAATCGCTACTATGCCAGTCACCGAAGATCCATAATTTGTATTGGTGCCTCAATAAGAGTGCATGGTATATTTGATTTTTATACCTCATCAAAAAATAAAAAAATAAAATGTAAATTGTAAAGAAATGAATCTGAAAAGGAACTTCAACTTGAATCTTTGTCCAAAATACACAAACACTATACTTGTGAAGACAGTGTGCTGCCCCTTTCACATCACAGTGGTTGTAATGGCGATATCATGATGGGCCTATCGACAGCTTCAAACTGTGATGACAATGGATATACAGGATTTGATGTTTGATGATGGTGAGGTGATATCCATTTCTTCTTTATGTTGGAAGTATATCAAGACGCATGACCCATCTGTGGCCAATCCATGCACTGGAATATTTTGATGTGGAATATAACTTGGAATACCGGAATGTTATCTTGAAAATACAATCCATGTACTAGTCTGAACATTTGCTTAAGTGTGATACATGTTAATTTCCTGATTAGCTCAAGACCAAGGACATCCCCAGCTGTACCTCCAGAAGAGCCTCCAGAGGAACCACCTCCTACCAAGAAGAAGACCGGCAAGAGGAGGAAGAGTGATGGTGCAATCAAGAGTAGGAGCCGGTATCGACAGGAGAGGAAGATCTCTCACGAGGACAGTCTTGATGTAGACGTCAACATCTTCACGCAGTGGGATCTCTCTGTCTCACCCATCATTGATAACCCCAAGGTAAGCACTTTAAGTGACAGAAGGGGATGGTGGTATAAGTTAATGGTGGCAGCAGTGGGATCAAGAGTATACGTTTCAGCAGGAGAGGAAGATCTCTCACGAGGACAGTCTTGATGTAGAAGTCAGCATCTTCATGCAGTGGGATCTCTCTGTCTCACCCATCATTGATAACCCCAAGGTAAGTACTTTAAATGACAGAAGGGGATGGTGGTATAAGTAATGGTGTCAGCAGTGGAATTAAGAGTAGGAGTAGGTATCAGCAGGAGAGAAATATCTCTCGGGAGGACAGTCTTGATGTAGACGTCAACATCTTCACGCAATGGGATCTCTCTGTCTCACCCATCATTGATAACCCCAAGGTAAGCACTTTAAGTGACAGAAGGAGGTGGGGGTATAAGTTAATGGTGGCAGCAGTGGGATCAAAAGTAGGAGTAGGTATCAGTAGGAGAGAAAGATCTCTCATGAGGACAGTCTTGATGTAGAAGTCAGCATCTTCATGCAGTGGGATCTCTCTGTCTCACCCATCATTGATAACTCCAAGGTAGGCACTCAAATCATGTGATGGGGTTAGAGTTTATTATGGCAGCAGTGGGATCAAGAGTAAGAGCAGGTATCGCCATGAGAGTAAGTCTTTCCCATGAGGACATCCTGGATGTAGAGGGAAATACAGTTACACAGTGGGACCTCTCTGTCTTACCTGTCATTAATAACCCCAGAGTTAACAATTTCATTAAGAGCGGGGGTAATTGGGGTAAAAGCATTTGGTGGCAGTGGTGAGATCAAGACTGGGAGTATTAGAAAAAGATATCTCATGAGGACAGTCTTTTGTAGAGGTCAACACACAATGGGATCTCCCTGTCTCACCCACCTTAATAATCTTAGGGCAGTTAAGTTAGAAAACTCGGAGAAGTGAAAATTCACTGTTACAGTGTTTAATAGATACCGTTTTATCATTCCATTATATTTCGGTATGATATAATTTCAGTATAGATTTCAAGTATAATTTCAGTATAATAAAAAGCTAATAATTATAAGCATCTTTCATGTTTTTCTGCAGATTCAGAAGCCAGCGTCTCTGAAGTACGACACTCGCAGCCTGGGCATTCCTGTTCACAGCAACGACAAGCTCGTGAAGATGACTGACACTGCTCTCCAGATCTACCTGGGCAACCTCACAGAGGCTTTAGCCAGCAAGAGCGGTGATAAGTCAGCAGGAACCCAGAGGACGAAGCTTCAGCTACTCAACTACGTGGGCACTATCTGTGGGAACGGAGCCGTGGCTAAGGCTGTTGCTGTCTCGAAATTGGTCAGTGGCTTAGGAAGCTGTTGGCTTGATTTTTTGCAAAGTGCATTGGATGACGTCGCCTAATTAACCAACAAAATATGCTGTTCCTTAAGACAAAATGTTCAAAATTAAGTGAATTCCTTTATAAAAAAACAGTGATGAATTTGTAAGGAAGATACACATGGCCTCTTATTTCTTTTACATCCCTCATCAATCATCACTCTTAATTTTATTACAGAATCCTTGACCGATATTTGAAAATCTTGGTATTAAAGTATTTATGTTGCCACTGATAGAATCTTTCATGACACCTTTTCAGTTTTCTAAAGTGTTTAGTTATAATGTCTGTCTTGGAAGTGTAACATCCTTTCATTGTTTTCTATCATTTCATACCTCATTTACAGATTCCCTGTATGATAAACCTTCTGAAGACATCACAGCCTCTGGAAATGTAAGTACCGGTACACTGATTTTATCAAACATTATTTTAAAGAATAAACTTAATAAAGTAAATACTGGTAAACTTTATTATGTTGTAACGGTGAACCTGTGCAGTTCGATGTCAAATTGGCAACACACATTCTCCAAGATTTTGGACAAAATTTGATAAAAATTTATTCAAATTAAATATTGTTGCGATGCATTGCATTAATCTGGATTTATTTATTTTTCTTCAAATTTCTAAATAACAACAAAAACATATTGTATTCATTTTTGTATTTACATCAGCCTCAACACTATACAGATCAGTGGAGAAATTATATTTGAGGGATTGTTAAACTGCATCTATTCATTAAAGGAACACCATGTAAAATATATTACATATTTTCCATTATTCATATCTTGCAGACGATGCAGAAGTGGCAGGATGTTGGGTCTGTTAGCTCAAAATCTTGATGAATTGCCTGAAGATCTCCCTCTAACAGAGGTATGTGGAACTAGTTTATTATAAAATGTAATTAGATGTTTTTTTAATGAAATTTATATTGAAATAAAAGTGCATTGATGTATAATCTGATTGAATAGAAACTGATGGGAGAGGCGTGTCACTATTGGGCAGTGATTTTAACACCTTTAACCTAATGATGGTGAAAAGTCATCAATCAATTTATGTTTGTTTGTTCTCATCTCTTCATTTGTATCCCTTGAATGTTTAGAATAAGGGTTTATCATTGTGACCCCACCTTTAGATGTACGGTGCAACCTGTCTATAAAGACCACCCAAAAGAGATTAGAAAAGTGGTCTTTATAGGCAGGTGGTCTTTATGTACAGGTTCCTTTAGTACATGTTTCAATGTCAAACCATTTTCAAGGGAAACAAAAAATGTGGTCTTTGTAGACGGGTGGTCTTTCTATACAGGTGGTCACTGAAGCAGTTTTAACTGTTTATATTTTTATTCTGAGGTAATTTCTCTCATAAAAAAATCAAGGATTTAACGTCTCTTTACTGATACCTCCAATGTTCTAGGTCGTCACAGCACTAACAGAAGTTCTACGAGATAACAATCGTAACTCCAAGTTGAAGCAGAGTATGGTTCCAGCCATCGGTGAGCTCTTGTTCCTCGCAGCTACCCATGATCAAGACGAGGCTTCAAACCCTTCTACCATACCTGCCTTGGTCTATACCATGATCTCTAGGTGTCTCAGGGAAGGGGTAAGATCAGCCCAGAGGTTCTTATCTCCACTCCTAATGATGCATGAATTTGGTCTTTATTTCTATCTGACCCTCATTTTATTTCATGTATTTCAAGTAAATGAACCTTGTCCTTTGATTAATTTTTATCATTTGAAAGTAATTTATGTTTTTTTTTTAATATTTCCCTATTCTTTCACAATTTTTATTGAATGTTTTTTTTTAGTACTGATGATACATTGTGGACAGTGAAAGAAACAGTTAAGGGAAAGTCCACTTTTGCATCAAGTTGGCTGAAATGAAATTAGAGCATAAAATTGACAGAAACATCTCCAAATGTATTTTTTTTAATATGTTTATAAACATTGCCTTCTTTGTGTAAGTTTATTTGTTTAATACTTTACCTTACAAAACATGTACGATTGATTTTGTGTCATTATCCCAAAATGTAACTTTACTGACTTATAAACCATCTCTGTTTAATAGGAGGATGCCATTGTGCAACACTTTGCAGCCAAGGTGGTAGAGAATGTGGCAGCAACAAACAGTGTTCATGGTGAGAAGCTATCCACCAATGAGATAGGACATCTTCTCTGGCAACTCTTCACACACTCTATGGCTGACACACCCAAGATATGTGCCATTTCAGTAAGTTGACTATATATATGATTCAAACCTTTTAGGAGTGTGCAGAGATGAAAAGCTGGTACCTACTCCTTGTATTCACTTTGGGTCAGTTACTCATTTATTGTAATACATCTTTATGTTAAAGAATTAAAGTGTTGTGGTTGTTGTTTTCTTCTCATTATTATCAAAGCCTGTAAAATGTAAAAGGGATTTGAACATCTGACTTGAACTATTCAGGCTAATTTGATATTCAAACCGCAGTATCGTCCCTATGCGCTATATAAATACATTCTCATCATCATTATTATTATGCTCGATTAAATTTTATTTGAAAATTTGCTTTCCCTGAATGAAAATTTGGATGACATTTTACACAATTCAACAAAAATGATTTCACTCTGTGTGGTATATTTAACCAGAAACAGTATTAGATTTAACCTCCTTTATTCATATTTTTAAAAAATTGTTGTCAAAATTATAGTAATAATATATTATGTCTGATCTAAACAATCATAACGTTTTCATTCTTCCGCTACTCTCTGTATCCAGGCTCTGTGCAGAATTTGCCGTCATTCTTTCGGCATCTTTCAGAGCATCCTGGATAAGGTCGGGCTGCCCAAAGTATTGGAGGGTCTAGCGGTCAACATCAGCCGTGTCCAGCAAGCACTGGTCACTATGTTTGGTCACCTACTGACCGAAGGATCTCATGTCCAGAGAACGACCCAGGATAAGGTAAAGAATTCTTGATGTTGGTTGTAAGAAGGTATAAGACAATAATCTAATGCATAGAAGAAGGAACATTGGGAATAAGTTTTATATGTAATCATCATTCATTATACAATAGGCTTGCGGATGCACTATGTGAGAGAGAGGGAGGATTGAGGAGTCCTGTAAATGACTGTTGGTGTAGTCTGTCTCATTTTTTTAATTACTTTGAATGTTAACACCTTTTTCTTTACAAAAGGATACATCAACTAGTTAGAGCTCACTTGCTGTCATTTAAATTGTTATTGTATTTTGTTTTTAAACTCAGTATTTTGCACTGCCTTTTAGGAGCCATAAGCAATTTGAATATACTTTATTGTTAAATCGGAATAAGTTGTGAAGGACTATTCAAATGTCTCATGTTCTCTTTTCCTTCTCAAAGCTGAAGGAGAGATCACATCTCAACTTTGCTATTTATTTTTCAGTAGAGCTTCTTTTTACTGTTTTTTCCATTGTAGTACTAAAAGCACATTACATTTTGTGTTTTCAGGAGTTTTGCCTGCATGTAATGAAGCTAGTTGAGAGTCCATCCGTTCTGATCCGTGCTAAAGCTCTCCTGGTCGTACTTGAGATCATCAAGGTTAGCCCCGAGATGATCATGGCGTGCTGTCAGGCAAGGTATGATGATGATGATGATTGACAGCCAGTAAGGCAGGCTCTCTCTGAATTGATGTTGGTAATAATAGACTGATAGTGAACGTACAAGTCCAAAGCTGCATAACTGTGACCAGTCTTTTATTGGAATGAGCAGTATACAACATCAATATAGTTAGTTTTTTTTTTTGGGGGGGGGGGGGGCAAGGAACATTTTTATCATTCCCATGCATGAGGTATGAATGCATAGATGCAAGTATCTGCTCAGTGGCTGCATATGAAAGCATTGATTTTGTCAATTTGGTATCTCAAGTCATTGATATGTGAATGTAAGGTTTTATACAATGATTTGCACAATCACAATTGATATTATGTACTGGTTGGCTGCCATATTGCATAATGCATCTCGACTCTAAATATCATGATCTTAATTTAAAGCCACACTGTCCAACTTGTAGCTGCTTGCCCCCTCTATATAGAAAACAATACCTAATCGGTGACCATTGGTCCCCCATGATCCTCTTTTTCTTATGTTGATTGAGAGCTGAGTTGATGAGATAACCACCTTTCCAGTGATCTTGCAGGGTAGTCTAATCCCTCATATAAACTAGTACAGATAAGCTTTAAATACTTTTAAGCACATTTCCGTCAAGAGAAATTCATATATATCTGATCATGATGTGCTCTCTCTTTCTCAGATTATTTCACATTGTCCTCTCAGCCGAACACTCAACCTTTTTTTCTCTTGCAGGTTGATTACGTACATGGAGCGAGACATTCGTCAGCAGATGACGAGAGGAAAGAGCGAAGGTCAGGCACAATGGAAGTACATGGACCAATGCCTTACGCTGCTCTCGGATCACTTGGTCAATCTCCTGCCTCAAATATTAGGTTTGTAATGTTCCTATCTATATATGCTCTTCTCCTAGACTTGTTGCTCCAGAAGATGATGAATTTTGGCATGTAGCATTTGATGCATTTTTGTAATCCAACTTAAACAAAAAAAATACTTTCATATAAGTTATAGAGGATATTATATCATTTTAATTGTTAATTTTCTGGAGCATTTGGATTGTGGTCATTCATAAAGATAATAAATCTGGAGAATTTGAAAGAGATGAAGTTGTAACTCTCAGTTGATGCATGCTTTGACCAAGATGATGCAAAGAGCAATTGGAACAGACACATAATTTTTATATTCTGGTAACCTTTGATGTTTGAAATATTTTATGTGTTCTTTAATTTTTCTTTCCCCATACTTGATACGATTCATTTTCTAAATGAAATATGCTGTTTGCATTATAGGTGATGCTGAGAGCAGTCTAGCTGCAGTGTCGGGTCGGAAGCATCCCTCTACCATACAGGCTAAACAGCTGAAAGGAAGTCTCCCTCTGGTGTCATTAGCTCTCCATCTTATCACAAGTCAAGTAAGTCATACAGAAATCATATGCTCACAAGGCATCGTTTAACAATGTTAAATCTGAGTTGCATGGCCCTAAGTGTTACCAGTGTCTGTGTTATGGTGTAATATTAAAGCCCTAAAAAATTGCGCTACAAAATGATCATGAAGTGCCTCAAAAAAGTAAAAATCTTTGAGTGACTGGTTTTACCATACTCATTTTCTCCAATAGACTGTAGTGATTTTGATGTTATAAGATTAACATGTGTTTGGAATGTAAGCAAACTGGTACTATTGACAAATTTCTATTTCCAATCATAAATATCTTGATAATCAGACAGGCGATCGGCTTGTAAAAGTCATGGGTTCCTGACTGACCTAAAGTTTTATAATTATGATTGCAGCAAGAGCTAAATCCAGGATTTTGTTTCAGAATCTGAGGCAAGGTTAATGAGTCACTTTAACCTTGTGTTCCTCTTCCTTTCTCTTTCTCTTTTTCCTCATTTCAATGTTTTCTTTTCTCACTCTCCTTTTCTCTGTCCACTATACCTTTCTTCTTTCTCACTTCCCTCCTTTCCTCTGATATCTACACCTTTTTTCCCCTTTCCCCTCATCTTGTCTTTTGTTTTTCAGTTTTTCACTCTTACTGTACTTTCTATCTTTGATTTGCTTCCTCTCTGATTTCCCCTCACTCATTCTCATCTCACCAATGAAATTGCCAAATAATATACAATAATTCTGCTTTTAATCCTTACTTTGGTTTTCAATGTTGGTTTAAAGGTAAAAGGATTTCAATCTAACCAACATTGCATGTACTGCATTCCTATTTCCAGGTTTTCAGACCAAGAATTGTTGGTGAGAGGTTTTTGTCTAACATTGGTGCTCTGCTAACTCACGTCAAATCAATGGACTGTGGAGAAACAAACATAGAACCTGCAATAGGTAAGATCTCAATACCCAAAAGGTTCATTGAAGGCCACTGCATATCTAACAGTCCAACTTTCACTTTATTTTTAAAGATATTTCAACAGGATTAGATATCAAATTTCTGACTATCATTCCAAACATTCATGCAAATGTTGATACAAAAAGTGCACGGTGTATAAGCAATCCAGTTGGATAAATTGCGAAATCAGCTACTGTTCAGTGGCAAGTTTGATAACTAGTATGATGTCCTTCCAATTCACAGATTTCATCCTACACTATACTTGTATCAGGCAAGTCTAAAGTATTTTGTCACATATGTTACCAATTACATCTGAGATTTTAGTATATCTGGGGAGTGTTTCACAAAGACTAAGATCATCTTTAAGTTGGAATTAACTATGGCAGGCCAATCATGCCGCTGGTTGCTCTCACCATTGGTCTCTCAATTATGATTTTTAGATGATATTTTTTTCCTTCAATAATAAACTATAAAAAAATATAAATTCTGTAGATTTATGACTACGATTGGTACGTCCCTTGAGAAACCAATGCCAGTAAATGATGAGAGAAAATAGTGGCATGAACAGCCTGTCATAGTTAAATCCAACTTAAAGTTGATCTTAGTCTTTGTGAAACACCCCCAGATGACTTAATAGATTTGTAATTAAGCTCTATTAGTGCTACATCAGACCAAAAATCATTCCAAATTACATGTTTGATGCCAATTCATGTTCATAATACAGTTTTCATAAATTACTTAGTAATGTATGGGACACAAATTACCAAGAATAAACCAGTTCACGGTTAGCACATGTCCCAAATGACCCCGAAGATCAACAGATCTTCAAAACACGAAGAGGTCCCACTTTGTACATTTTGAAATAATCACTCCTACAGCTATTGAGGTGCTACATAAATAGACTTTGTTTCCCCTTTTCAAAGAATACTGTGTATCATGGAGTGCACTGCTTGTGCATGAATAAATAATGATTACATAACTTTCATGAGCACTTGAGTGTTTTGTCTCCGTGTATTTTACAATTTGGTCTGCAGTGACCTTTATCTGCTCATGCTCAGACTGCAACTATGAACTGGCATATTACGTTTAACATGCCCTGTCACATGTGTACTTTCTACCCCTCTCTAGGCATGTTAGGTATCGTGGAGTTCAATAACATCGTCCTGTCAATCCTGGAAGCAGTCACTCAGCATCCATCTATCTTGATGGAGCATCATGTAGAGGTCATTGACAGTATCCTCAATCCTTTGGCTGCTCTGGTTGCAAGTAGAAATGGTAATGGCCTTCTTCAGTTCTGGGCTTCTTAACTGTCTAAAAAACTAAATTGCTATAAGCTCAAGTACAAAAGTACAAGTTTCAGTTCTCTTTATTCAATACTTTTATTAAAGATATACAAAGGAAAACAAACATATAAAAGTTAAAATATAATACATGTATCAATATATAACATGAGAATATTACAAGCAGAGAAGACATGAAGAGCAAGGGGACAAAATTTAATTTTTTTTATTAATGAAAGCATATGGAGACTAGACAGGAAGGCTGGGCCTTAAGTAAAAGTCTGTCTTCAGTAATTGTATAAAAAACAATGTACGTTATTTAAATTATTTATTTCTTAATAAAAGGGGGAAAAAATAATTATTTACTTTCACACATACACTCTCTCCCATACATTGAAATCAGAGAATGAGATATTTGTCTTAGAATAGTGTTCCTAATGATCATATTCAAGGATTTGAGCATTGTCTTTATAGTGCAAAGTCTCAATGTCTTTGGAAGGAGACATGGGCTGGTATTCTGAAGTCATGTCTACCTTAGTCATGAATAAAGTTAAACAACTGTTTAGCTAGATAGGACTTTAACGCGAGGCCTAAGTCCTGTCTAACTTAATTTCGTATTCTGAAGTCGTGTTTATTAAAGTCACGTCTAACTAAACCACTGTGGCTATACAATGATTCTTTATACTAAGTTCTTTATAGAGTTTCGGGATAATTTTTTTTGTGTGTGGACACGCTGCAAGACAGGACTTTAAACAACTGTTTAGTTAAACAGGACTTATAGTCACGACTTCAGAACACGGGCCATGAACTTTTATGCCTTTGTTCCTGCGTAGTTTGCCAACCTTGTAGTAGCTGCAAGGTATATGTATATGAAAGAAAAAGATTTCTTTTTGAACTACCAATCGCAGAGATGTGTCCGTTCCTAAAATAAGACAATATTATGATTAATGGAACCAGCTCGAGCACATGTGCAATGTTAGAACATGACATATAATAAGCTATAATAATAATTTGCTTTGAAATACTTCCAAAACTAGGTGATAACTTGTGAATAAGGAGTTTCAAAGGATACCTGAAACATGAAATACAAACTTCCTTTTTTCAGATGAAACCCGGATGTTCTGCGTACGTCTGTTTGCTGAGATCATGTGTCTGTACTTGAACCATGACAACCTTACTGAGAATGGTGCCATCACGAACCCTCAGCTCTTGACAGACATCACCTCACAGATACTCCCCAGCCTCCAGCAGCTACTCCTAGATGCTGATCCTGTACCCCTCTATGGACTCAAACTCATACTAGCTCTGATTGAAACTAGCCCTGACTTCATCAGGTATGGTTACGTAGCCTATCTGCACTAGTTTGGCCAGGAGGGATTAGACCTCCCTGCATGGTCACTGACAGGTGGTTATCTCATCAAATCGGCTCTAAATTAACATAAGGAAAAGGGGATAATGGGGGACCAACAGCATTTTTTGCTATATAGAGGTTGCAAGTAGTGCAGTCCCGCTTTAAGGTTGAATGAAGCAGTTAGTTTAGAATAAATAATTTGAAGTCTGTTCGACATCTTTCAATCAAATGTGAACATGCAAATAGCCGAAGAGAATCAGGTTTCTGGTTTAGTATGATGGCATGTGGATTCTGCATTGTTATTTTGAAAAATGAACACCTAGGTATTAAAAAGCTTTCTTCATATTAAAGTAAGCTCTAACTGTATTGGTTCTCCTAAAACACCTGACACAAGGCATTCTTGTTGCAATTCAGGCAATTTGAATTCTCAACTAGTGCTAATCTTTGTTGTCTCCTCAAGCAAACTGGCAAAGTGCCACTTTCCCATGTCATGAAGATCATTCTCCAATTTGGAACCTGTGGTCCGTTATATGCAAGACATCTGTGGTGTACTGTTTTAAAAAGTCAATCACTGCATACATGTATATCAAAGAAGAAATAGAGACATTCAAAGTTTTTGAATCGTAGTAATAAGGAAACAAATTCTTCTTTCCTTTTGTAGGAAAATGGAAGAACTAGAGCTTGTGCCGGTGCTGTTTCAAGTGCTGATAGATCATCGGAACAGTCCCACGAGTAGCACCATACGTTATGTTATCTCAGTGTTGAACTGTTTGGTAGCGGACACCAATGCAGATATGGAAGCCCTTTACGACCAAGGTATGAACATGAAAGTAATGAAGTAGTTCAGCTTAAAGAAAATAGTTGTTCAATGAAAAGAAATGGTTGCCAAAAGTATGAAGTGAACTGAAACTGTAGAAACATGATTATCGTTTGCTGATAATATATTTGTCCATAACCAATTTCCAAATTTTCTGAGTACAAAATTATTTGCAAGTCTCTATATGAAAATGTAATAATTGCATGTAATACTGTAAACATATGTTGGCTTTTTAAAAATAATTGTAAAACCTTAATGTTTATTATCTACTTAAAAATTTGTTCAACCACATTCTATAATCCATGATTTTTATGGGCCTCTGAGGGAAACAGTTTGAATGATGACAACCCACCCTCTCAAAATAAAATGGATGAATATGAATAAGTAAATGAACATATGAATGCATTAAGTAGAACTTCCCATACAAATATATTGTCGAACTTGACTCTAAGTTAGACTTAAACTTTATGGAGAGCCATTTGTAGCCTTACAATATTAGATATATTCAAAAGCAAAAAGTGAAGTATTTTAGACTTTTCATAAATTCCACATCAAGAACATGAAATCTCCCATGATAATAGAAAATATGAATGATTTGAATCAACATTTTATGCCTTTTAAAATAACTTATACAAAATATTTTCATAGATGCTTTTGGCTTTCCATAATTTTGAAGTCCAACTTAGAGATAAGTTCAACTTAGGATCTTTGTGAAACACCCCCTGATGCTTTTACAGGTATCCAGGATCACATCAGCATCCTACTTGAGGATGTTGAGAGGATGTACCTGTCTTCAGAGGACACCAAGGTGGACTCCAAGGCACTGACTCTACTCATGATTGGTCTCCTGGACCTCCTCCATACTCTGCTCAAACATATCGCATGCATTGTCAGGAATGTACTACAGGTATTGCATTTCATTTCATTTAATTTATTTTATTCAGTTCTGAATACATAATAAAATCGGTATACATTAAAGGCATCGTTTAACAATGTAAAATCTGAGATGCATGGCCCTACATGTTATCAGTGTCTGTGATATGGTGTAATATTGAAGCCCTAAAAAAAATTGCTCTTCAAAATGATCATGAAGTGCCTCAAAAAAGTGAAAATCTTTGAGTGACCGGTTTTACCATACCATACACATTTTCCCCAATAGACTGTAGTATTATAAAAACTGTTAGGAAAACGAAAAATGTAATTTCGATTTCCAATCATAAATATCTTGCTAATCGGACAGGTGATCGGCTTGTAATAGTCATCGGATTCATTTCTGACCTAACGGTTTATAATTATCATTGCAGCATGAGCTAAATCCAGGATTTTGTTTCAGAATCTGAAACAAAGTTACCCAATCCCTTTAAAACATATATGAAGAAATGTTTTTTTTTTTTTTAAACAGAACTGGCCAGGGCTCCAAGATTATCAAAACTTGATGCCTTGTTAGCCCTGACAATTATGATATGATATGATCTGTCATTTCGCTCCAGTGACATTTACTCCAGGCTTTATCTTGTCATATATATAGTTAGGGTTAGCCTATTTTGGGGGGTTGGCTTATGTTTTGAGTTATGGTCAGGTACTGTGCTGGGTACAGGGATGAATTTAGGAATTTGATTTGTTTGGATAACTAACCCTGGAGCATATGTCATACATGTAGAACCCTGGACCCATCACTTGAATTAGGCCATCTGTGCTTAAATTACTTCTCTTGAAAGATAAATGCATTTATGACAAAAGTGAACAAATGCACCCTTTGATTTAATTTTCCAGGGAAGGGTCGCATGAAAGTGCTACAAGTATTTGTATATTGACATCCCGTTGAAACACGTTATAAGACTAACATGTGTTTGAGATGTTAGCAAACTGGTACTAATGACAGTTTCCTGAAACACTGCAAACTTTGTGAATATGATGTACTGTTCATATAATCTATGCAGGCCAAGAAGTCTGGTGGTAGTGCAGACACGCAGGGAGCCGAGAGAATACTGATGGCCAACAAACCCGTGGTCAGTGGTAGCCTCATCATTATTAGACTGGTAAGTGACCAAGAAAATTATGTCAATATATAGCTATATTTGGCTTTGTTTAATAAAACAATATACAGTCAAACCTGCTTTAGTGACCACCTGTCTACAACGACCACATTTTTTTTCTCCCTTGAAAATGGATTCTCATTGAAACACGTACTAAAAGAACCTGTCTTCAAAGACCACTTTTTGTGTTTCCCTTGGGCGGTCGCTATAGACAGGTTTGACTGTAGTTGAATGTATATAAGAAGAGAATACCGGTAATTAGATGATGGAAGCACTATGGATGGGGATTTTGGCATAGACCTGCAAATACTAAAGTAACTTTAAATCAATCTTCATTATGAGGATAACTCTGCCTGTCCATTACAAAGTCATATGACAGTTATAGCAAAATGCAGTACCACAAAAAAAATCATATCTGCCAAAGAACTTCAGTAGAATAGCTATAATAGATGAGTTATCTTATGGGCAGAAAAATATGAAAATCAAGTTAGTCCTTTCACTCATGTGTCCAGCAATAGATCGCAGCTTCATTGGATGTGATTTCCAGCAACTTTTTCATCAGTTTGTTTTCAATTTGATGGTGCAAGCTTTGATTTTCTCTCAAAATGCTGGCACATCACCAGAACTTTAAGGCATCATTTAACAATGTTAAATCTGAGATGCCCCTACGTGTTATCAGTGTCTGTGATATGGTGTAATATTTCCCCAATAGACTGTTGTGTAATAAAAACTGCTAGGAAAACGGTTTTTGAAATCTTGATCAGACAGGCGATTGGCTTGTAAAAGTCATTGGGTTCCTGACTGACGTAAAGGTTTATAATTATCATTGCAGCATGAGCTAAATCCAGGATTTTGTTTTAGAATCTGAGACAAAGGTACCAAATCCCTTTAGGACTTCCATTATCAATGGAATAATCTTCTTCTTTTTTTTTTGTCACTACAGCTCTGTCACAAGGATAAAGAGATTCATACTTCAGCCTGTGAGTGTCTATCACTGCTTGGTCAGCTGTATGGAGGGGAATACCCTAACTCATTCTCGGCTGATAACTCCCAAGCCATGGCCAAAGCTCTACAGACCTTCGATACCAAGAGACAGAAACTGGTTCTCAGATACATCAAGAGAGTGGTAAGTCAAGATACTATAGATATAGTTTGATGGCCGGGAGCCAAAAGGACGTTGACTCTGTATTAAAGTATAGGGGTTAATGACCTTCTTGCTCCAAACAGAAGATATGGTTCTGTGCCATGTACTCCAAGATTTGTGATCATGCACAGTCAGAATCCTACACGAAGTGAATACCTCATTTCAATTCTGGATAAAACACTATACTAACCCTAACCTGAAACCCGAACAACAACCCTGTGCAACCCTAATCTTTTTATCTTCGATGAGATAATAAGCCTGCAGCAGTTTTGCTATAGTAAATGTAGGGTCTCTTGAAATAAATATTATTCTATAAGGCATTCATTTTTCACATATTTTAGTAGAAAGGGCATATTTTAAAACCTTGATAGACACTTTCATTAGTATGGTAATATAAATTGCCTACCGGTATTTGGCTTCCCTCTCACTCTATCTCTCTCTTTCTATTTTCCTGTATCAATGTACATATATCCATATTTCAAATGTTCAAAATACATTCTTGCTTCATTTCCCCCATCCTTCTCTATTTCCACATAAAAAAATTGTTTTCATTAAACGTCACTGGAAGAATACCATTCATTTACATCTAGCTTTAAATATTTAAGTAGCTCACAAGTGAATGTATCTTTCACCAATGTAATTTCCAGGTATCGACTGAGACACACCACATAGAGCAGCTGAACAATGAGGGAGCTATCTTGGTAGAGGCATTAGGTCGTATGAGGCAGACAGCGAGCTCACACGCCGATGTAGCAGTCTCGTCCCTTGCAGCTGATATCCTACGGGTCGTTGGTGTACAGTAATTCCACGAGAACTTACAATGTTAATGAAGAAGATTGACGAGGATTCTATTCTCCTTTTTACAACTTTAAGCGGGACTGCACTACTTGTAGCTACTTGGCCCTCTATATAGCAAACAGTGCCTAAGCGGTACTCGTTGGTCCCTTTTTCTTATGTTAATTAAGAGCTGATTTGATGGATAACCACCTGTCATTGACCACACATGGAGGTCTAATCCCTCCTGGCCAAACTAGTGCAGATAGGCTTTAAGAGTTATCATTATGCAGTAATTCAGTTCAGTTCAGTTCAGTTCAGTTCAGTTTATTAAAAAAACACATGGCATAGTAATCATGACGAACAAACATGATCCAAATTGAGACCCCAAAAAGCAATGCTTGTGAGTGGGGCCCCTGTGGAGGATGGACCTCTCAATCCCAGCGGATTGGCAAAGAGACCAACGTGTTTCAAGGATCTGCGCAATTCAAAACATGAAAGATGGTAGGATACGATCGATCAGAGCCCCCAAAACAAGCAGGTCCCAGAGTCCGCCAACCGAGATCATGAAGTTCATTTACAACAACAAAAAAACATGGTAATGTACACAAATTAGTACAAGGAAATGGCAAGGTTGTGTAACTTCAAAACATATTTACAAGGAAAAAAGCATGTATTAACAATAACTGATTACACGGTTATATAAATTTTAAAACATTTAAAAGGAAAAAAGCTAAATCACTGGCAACAACATGAACACCCTTAATGCACCCTTAATCACTTGATGCACTAGGTTACTTTGACGTGTATTGTAGCAATGTATCTGAGAGTTACAGGAAAATAGGTCTTTTAACAGGCAAGCCTGAGGACAAAACTTAAGTTTAAACATAAAAATCATACTACTGAATGACACAAGCTCATCAAAAGGCAACAATTTCATCTCAATGAATAATGGCTTACTAGGATGTCTGAAGTAAGAACTAAAGTTAAATTTACTTATGATTAACTTTACATTTACCGTACCGTATGTCTATTTGTTCATTTGCTGTTCTGGTTTCTGGTTTCTGTTTCTGTGATGCTAGTGTTTTGTGAAATTGATTTCCAGTTTATTTGAAGTATACTTGCATTTGAAAGTCGAGTTATAGTATTGGAAAAAGGAATTTGCTACACTGTTGAGGTATATGTTGCTTGAAAAGTCTACTATATATTAACATAAACACACCATGTACAGTATGTGTATAGTGTCTGTATTTGAAATGCAGTATTCGCTTGCAAAATAAATTGTATGAAATTCACTTAGTATTTATGGCACATTATGTTCTTGAGCATTAGCACATTTATTTTCATTCTGATAAGAATAGAGGTTCAACAGTAACCAACTCTTTGGCACAGAGAAATAAGCGATAACACCCTTTGCCTTTCGCAACTTGCCTTAGATGTATCTTGATAAAAACCTTATTGGATGGTTTTTGTTGTTGTATAGATATACATGTACATGTATGTGGTACAGTACTAATTGGTCCCTAGTTTTTCGTTCATATATGTATGATTGATATAAAATTTGTTGTGTATAAGTATGTTATTTATGATAAAATGTAAATATCTGGTGAAGTTGTGTGAATATTATGCAAAATTAAATTAGAATATGTAAAAAAATAAACCCTTGACATCTGTGGTATTTGTTTGTCTGTCATTATGTCACATGTAATGGAAGGAAAACGGATAAAAACATTCTAAGAATATGTAGGGAATACCCTACTGAAGCTAATACATAATCATTGTAGCAAAATGCACACAAAATGGCCATTACCAAATTACACATTATTATGATATTTCATAGATTTGCAACCTGTGTATAATAAAATTTGTGACACACATCAAATAAGATAGTTAAAAATATTATGAACTTAGTCAAAAACAATGTTGAGTGGCTTTGTCTAATCCAGCAAATAGTACCAAAATACAAGTACATTTAACTTGCAATTTACTGCCAATTCATGGGAGTTATGAATGTTAAAAACATGAAATCACTAAATCCATGCGATTTGGCAATTTGGTCAGTTGATTGTGACATAGTCATGGGACAACTCTCTTGTTTGTTGTTTACAAAAATATTATATAATTTTCTTTTTTTCTCCCGTGGGGCACTACTCAAAATAATTATGCATAACATATTATTGGTCCTCTAAAAAAGAAAAGACCCTCCTGAATCATACATTTTGAAAAATTGACATTTCAATCATTTTGTGTCTTGAAACAAATGGGAAAGTAGTCCAGAACTTTGTAACAGTGACATAACCATTTCAGCCAATTTGAAGTACTCATACATAGAGTGATTTCAGCTTTCAAAAATGTGTAACTTTCTTATATTTTTGTCAGATTTAATTCAAACTTTCACTGGTCTGCTTCTCCATTTTCCTGCTTTCTTCTCTCTCATCACTCCTCCTCCCCCTCCCCACTCTACTCTCCTCTCTCTCTCTCTCTCTCTCTCTCTCTCTCTCTCTCTCTCTCTCTCACACGCACACACACACACACACATCCCTTCTCTCAACTCTCCCATTCAGAAAAGGTCTTTATATTAATAGTTGTGTCATCTATAGTTCATGAACAAGTACAATGCATACATGTATATCAAATCATGATTGAGTTTTGATAAATGCTTTTATTGACGCATAACACTGTACAACGCATATTTCTGCTATTCCTAAAATATGTTCAATCACTACACCACTTTGAAACATGAAATTGAGATGCAGTAGAGTAAACTAAAATGTACGAAAGCACATGCTGAACATACATTGCAAGCTAAGCGAGTCGTTTCATTATAGAATAATACAATTCATGTTGTGAGATCATACAGGTATAAATATAAACATGAAGTTGACGACAAATCATTATGCGTGGCAAGGTGGTTGACTTTATATCAATATACCTCATCATTTTTAATCAACTTGGATATTATTTGAAATAAGAAATATTGAATTTAAACACCAAACTGATTTCTGATGAGATACTAAACGTAGGTACATGAACATTATGGTGGCTTTTAGGTGGCAAAACACAAATTAAACCAATATTGGCACATCGTGCACTAGACTGTACATAAGATTTAAATAATAATTAGTGTTTTTTTTTATATGAAACTTGTGTGGTGAAGAATTTGAACTTGGTACATGATAACTGGTATATTTATTAAAAAAATACTGTTTCTGCATTTTAAAAAGATTAATTTTCCTTTCATGATTTGGCATAGGAATAAGAAATAACAAAGGGCATTTCATAAACAGTTCAAGATAAAAGAAGTCAAGGAAAATAATTTCATAAATGAAGGGGGGAAATGGAAACTGAAACTTTGCTGCACTTCATAAAAATATAGTGTCATGTACAAGACCTTGATTACAATGCATAATGTACAATTTATCTTTACATGGCATATGTACAGTTTACAGCACTAATCAATATTACTATGCAAAAAACATTTACAAGCCTGAAATGTACAAAAAAACCTATACCCCCGTTTATGGGCTCCAGAGTGAGAGACTATCGAGTTGTAATTGAGAATACAAGTACCGGTATATAAAAAAAACAATATACAAATGAAGCATGCACTACCTAATTCATTATATTCATGATTGAATTGTTCTAAAGTATCTACTGGGTGAATTGTCATCAAACTTAAAGAGAAGGTCGATTTCTGGGAAGAGGTGACAAGTAATTTGTGAGCGTTATCATTATTATTATGCAAGTGTGAAAGAACATCAGATAAAAAATGTTCCCTGAAAAGCATGGCTCTTCGAATGCCCTAATATTCTAAATATGGCATGTAACATAATAAAAATTGGTATGGATTTTTATGCCATATGTTCGTGTAGTCCCATATACATCTTTCTGTGTACAGTACTTGTAACTTTACCAAGGCTGGGTCAAGATTCCAGAACCTTGCAGTACACTTATAAGCCAAATGATCAACCTTTTCCGATTGAATTTACAATGTTTCTTTCACATTGCAATCGCATGACCAGAACTCAACTTTATCTTTAAGTCGCTAACTTTTATCAACGATGTATGGCATTATGCATAAAATATATTTTGTATCAATGTATCAATACAGGTTTCATGATTCATAACAATGCAGGAACATGTTCTAAAACCTCAAATATAGCAAAAATATGCAGCCATTTGAGAGGGAAAATGGCCTTGTTTCCCATTATTAACATATTATGGAAATCAGCTTTCCAAGAGTAAATCTTTTGTACATTCCAAATAGACATATCCAATTATAAAATAGCTCATACATCAAATTTCCCCAACTTATCAATATTGGTAAATTAGGCATGATCTATTTCCATTCAGGACAAAACAAAAGATATGCATTTCTGTAACACTTAAAAATGATTGGAATAAACCTGCATGATTTTACTAACTGTATTTACCATTTTACAATAATGACAAAACAACGATTTTAAACAAAAACATAATTATATGTACAAGTTTTACAGTAAAAACTATACAAGAGAGATATTTGGAGGATTACACAGAATGAGACTGTGTATTTGTGACCGCTTCATGTCGTTGAAGATAAATAATTCAGTAAATGAGGACCAATAGGGTGTTGAATTTTCAAACACCTCAATATAAAATTGCACCATTTCCCGTAATTTACAGCCATGCAAATACAGTTTATGAAGAATAAAAAGAAATATTGACTGTATCAGTGCAGTTCAAATGTACTACATAGTACATATCAATGTAAAATGTAAATTCAAGTGGGCAATGGGGGAGAGGATGACAACATTCTCGCACGACATGATCAGAAATTTAAAGTTAAACCTATTATAAAGGAAAGACATGAACATAGGCCGCCATAGTGTTACAGTAGGAGTGTACATTAAGCAAATAATATACATTCTCAGCTACTCTTGACTGCAATAAGGTAAAGATCATAATTTACTGTTTCATGTAAATATTTCATTGCATGAGCATTTAAAGACCTGGACATGATAACTACCTATATTTAATCTGGTATTGATCGCAATACATCATGATAAAGTGAGCATATAACTATATTAACTTAATCAGCTGATGTGGCATTATGTGTAACAAAATTCTTTTATGATTAACCCTATTACATGTAGTTGTCACAAAATGATACCTTATTATGGGTAAACATTTCAAATAATAAATATGGACAGATGCAATAGAGGACCCAACGTGTGTATCATATAAATTAGCAACTAAATTATTCATACCCGTATCAAGGTTGTAATTTTTGATGTTTGTGAAAAATTGATTTGTGACAATATATTTTTTTGTTGAGAATGTGACATATTAAAGCTTACATCTAAAGGTATTCAACAAAGGCCCTAGTTCAACCATTCCACCATTCATTCTTATGTTGCGAAAAAAACCAACTCCAAAACCCCAAACTTACAGAGGGTATGAATAATTCAGTTCAGCAGTAATGAGAGAGCGAGTCATTCTGCTCACAATATAAACTGTACTACCTGTACGTAAACAATAAAAGTAAATGTTATTCCTTTTAAAGTCTAGATTCAGATCCAATGATCTCCATCCTGCTGATTTGGTGCAGAGAAATTTCCTTGATAATAAATTTGCCTTGGAAGCTGCAAAGTTCATACATAATAGACTTTAAAGGGAGTGTAGCCTGACGAGACTATGTGTCTTTCCCGTGGCCTGACTCGAGGCCAATCAGGTATAATACCAATACGGACAACGCGACCACGGCAATCATGTGCGTGCAACCTATCTATACGGTCTGATGCGGGAATGCTGACAATGTAGAGATTAAGTCGCTGACTACCATTAATCAAGTCCATTCGTTTTCGTGCAGTTGTCCAAAATAAGACGTAGATGGCGTTAACCAGTATTTGCCAAGCTTCACTCCCTTTAAAGATAACCTGAAGCTCTGGTAATGATGGAAAATAATTTCTTACAGAATCAAACAAAGCCACCACTGATTTGTTTTCATCTTACACAATTCAATATATGTGATAAATGAGTTGGAGGAGAAAAGATAATAGCTGAAGAATAAGCATGAAAGATAACAAGATCAAGCTAGTTATTAAAAGTCATTGGTATAGTGTTTTGACTGAATGTAACATTTCAGCCGGTTTTCATCAATTCTTTCAAATTTTGATATTCTGATCTGCTGCATGATACAGGATTCAGAACTGCTTCATAAAGCCAGTTACCTTTGGAATAGAACTCCATTACCAGGGGAGTGTTTCTCAAAGACTAAGATTGACTTTAAGTTGGACTTAACTATGGCAGGCTCTCACCATAGGTCTCTCAACTATGATCTTTAGATATCATTTTTCCCTTCAATCAATGAACTATGTACATTCGTGACTAGGATTTTTATGTCCATTAAAAATCCAATGTCAGGAATGGTTAGAGGAACTAGCGACATGAACGGCCTGCCATAGTTAAGTCCAACTTAAAGTCAATCTTAGTCTTTGTGAAACACTCCCCAGACCTCAAGATCAGCTTTGAAGGCTCGCCTCGTCAGTCATCAAACGAGATTCCACCGATACTGAGATGCATCTTTTCATGTTTCTTCAAGATCCACTTCTCACTGAGCGGCTTATCACAGATCCTGCAGACGTAGGGCTTGTAGCCGGTATGGGTGCGTTCATGCCG